CGTACACAGTTTCATATTTATCGAACTGCCACTCAACAGCATTCTGCATCAAAGCAAACATATATTCATTTCGTCGTAAGAAAAGGGTGTGTCTTCTCAGCAAATTCTTCAACCTATACAGTTAGGCGATTATGAGATAATTAGAAGTGCTAGCAGGATTCACTATCAGCGGCCACAATCTTAACAGCATAAGATATGCAGATGACACAATGTTCAAAACAGACACAGAAAAGAAACCACAAAAACTCCTATAGAAGGAAAGCGAGAAGAAAGGACTAATCATCAATTGCGAGAAGACACAATACCTGATTGTTAGCTAAAGGAACAGCCCAATATGTAAAGTACAAATTGGATATACAAAAGTACAACAATTTAAATATCTGGGAAGTGTTTTAACAGAGGACGGATGTTCGACACTGAAATCCGAAGGTGTATTGAGATGGCGAAAGGTGCCTTCTAAAAACTAAGCAAAGTATTAAGAAACAGGAAAATTTCTCTTAGAAACTGTCTTTGAACTAGTATGCAATGGTAGTGAATGCTGGACAATCTCCTCACTGATGAAGAGACTTGAGGCAACAGAAATTTGGTCTTACAGAAAAATGCTGAGAATACCGTAGACTGAACATGTGAGCAATGACGAAGTTTTAGAGAAAATGGAAACAAAAAAAGACACATTTTTTAAAACATTTCAACCAAAGCAAGGCGGGAGTGTCACTAGCACGCAGGGGTGGGGGTTACAGGGAGTGAAAGTGAGAGAAAAGACTACGCATTTGAGGAAATGATAAAAGATGGTGATTTTCTAAGCGTACCTTAGATGTGACACAAGGCCGAAAATATGGAGCACCCAGTGAGGATCGAACTCATTACTCAGTCATAAGTGATCTAGCGAGACAAGCTTGCTAACAATTACACCACATCGAAGTGATGAAAAAATAAAAGGTGTATGGGATCATGTCAACAAAAGATGGCGGTTGAGGCTGCATTTCAATGTTTGAAGATTGTACGGAAGCAAGTAAGAGGAAGGGAGTTCCACAGTCGGGAAGTGCGAGAAAAGAAAATTTTGGATTAGAAGTAGTGGTTACATTTAATTATTTCAACAGCAAAAGAGTGGGACCTAAATGTTAATCTATTAGCTTCCTTAAATTCATGTAGTCCAGGTACCATGGAAAAAGCTCGTTAGTGCATTTACATGAAAATATTTGTAGAAAAGACACGTCTGTGAGAAAGAGACTGAAGTCGAGATGCCAGGTCAGGACCGATTATATTGCATTATATTAAATACTTATGTTAAATACCAGAATGAGATTAGGGTACATAATAAGGAAAGAGGACTTGGAAAATTTTCCACTCATAGGGCATACTAAAGGCAAGATAGACAGAAAAAACAGCATATAACCTAAGTAACTTGTTTAAATGCATGACAGAACAAGCTTTAGGTGATTCAAAAAAGACATTAATTAGAGCTACAAAGGAGAGAACCATTATCGACAACACCTTGAAGAGATATGGCGTATAGAAATTATAACCTCAAGTATGATGCCATCAACACCCGTCTTTACTCTTACTTTCACTCTCTGTAACCCCTTGCGTGTTAGTGGTACTCTCGCCTTGCTTGGGGTGAAATGCTTAAAATTATTACTCTATTAAAAATAATTTAAAAAAAAACAAAAAAAAAACTGATTCATATGTTGCATAATGCCTTTTCAAATGCCTTATTTAAAGAAAAAATATTCATTAATTAAGGTTTTAATCTTCGATAAATTACTTTTATTCAGAAAAACCAGTGTGAGTTTTCCGAGCTGCCGTACCTTCATAGTTGTAGGAAATGTTAGATAAATATGGAAAATCTAAATGTAGGTTTAGAAATTAATAGAAATATAAGAAATGCTCACTTGTAACGTTACGGAAACGATCATAAATTAGAAAATCAAGAAGTGAAAGAAATCCAGGAATATATTAAACCGTCGATGACATTAAAGTAAGACAACAGAAATGAAGTAATTTGAAGGATAACGACAGGATAGAAATCTTTTAATATAAGCAGAGAAAGAATACAAATCACTTTTCCAGTATGCTTAAAACTGAAAATCTATAATAAAAGATCAATGCTAAGAATAACTATAAGAGAAAGGAAGATTGGAGAATAGACCAAGACAAGAGATATTATAAATGTGATTAAAAGGAAAAAGTGGAGGTGAGCAAGACACAAAGCAAGAAGAAAAGGTAACAGATGGAGTAAAAGGTTGCTTTATTGGCGTCCAGTGGGTAACATAGTAGAAATAGACTAGATAGAGGATAGAGAAATGAGTTGATTTTGCTGATAAGCCAAGGAAAAGATTAGCAGAATCATGATCTTCGTCGAAGGACTTGAGAAAAGTTGTTGTCGTGCTGTGGATTAAGGATTACTGCGTCGATTGTTCTGATAAGAAAGAACTCCAGAATTTGTTAGTGAGGGCCTCAGACTTAACACGGAGTCCCCTTTCAAGTACTTTGAGGAGGT